TTTGCATGATCACACCGTAAATGGTTCAGGTGTGTAAAATTTTTTGAAGAGGAAAATAATGTTGACAACAGTATACGGTACCTAGATTTCTTAATCACAAGGAAAGAAAATAAAGTAGAATTTGAGCCTTATAAAAAACCGTGTTCAATTGAAACTACAATAAGATATGACTCTAATATACCTATGTATATCAAAAAGAATGTTTTTCATATGGAGTATACAAAAATACAAAATAGAACCAGTAACGAAATTATTAAAAATAAACATATAGATAATTTAAAGAAAAAATTCAACATAAACGGATATCCAATCAGATTAATTAATAAATGGCAAAAAATAATAGATAACACTACCAAAACAAAAGTAAAATATTTAGGTTTTCCATACATAAAAAATATGTATGAGCAAATAGATACAGAAATGAAGAAAAATAATATGAAACGTGCTCCAAAATATGGAAATCTATTCTCCAGATTGAAGGCTAAACAAAGTATAAAAAAACAAAAAATAAATAAAGAAGAAAGAAAAAATATTGTATATAAAATACCATGTACATGTAAAAACAACAGTTTTTATATAGGTGAAACAAAACGCAAACTAAAAATAAGAGTTAAAGAACATACGTCTGATTTGAAGTATCACCGATTAAACTCAGTATTCCATGATCATTGTGTACTAAACAATTGCAACATAGATAAAACTAACATACAGATTCTACATAAAGAGAAGAAAACATATAACAGAAAATTTAAAGAGAGTGTTGAGATTATTAAAAATAAAAATAACAATTGTATAAATAAAAACTTAAGCATTAAAATTAGTGAGAACTGAATAAAAATATTGTAATTAAGTTGGTGACTATTGGTTTTAATTATGACGATAATCACCAAAGTTTAAAGTTCATGTATAAATAAATGATTGTAAAAATCTGGAAATAATATAAGTTAAGATTAATATAATGATTCCTGTTTGTACACAACTTTCCATTGTATACTGAAATTGTTTCAAAAAATCAGCTCATTAATATATGTAAATTAGTAGACCAAATAGTGTCGTCGTGATAACTGTATGCAAGACTTGTTTTATGAGAAGCTACAACTGATAATGTGTGAATTTGATGTCCGTATATAAACTACAGGTAAAACAAATACTTGTACACAACAATTTAATGTAATAGTTTTAAATAAGTTCACTGATATATATGTAAATTAGCAGACCAAATAGTATTGCCGTGATGACTTTGTGTGAAACTCGTCATAAAAAAAGTTACAACAGTTATTGTGTGAATTTTGGTATGATATACGAATATAAATTACAGGTAAAACAAATATTGTTANAATAGTTTTAAATAAGTTCACTGATATATATGTAAATTAGCAGACCAAATAGTATTGCCGTGATGACTGTGCGTGAAACTCGTCATAAAAAAAGTTACAACAGTTATTGTGTGAATTTTGGTATGATATACGAATATAAATTACAGGTAAAACAAATATTGTTAAAAAATGTTTATAGATTTCAATTTATTTATTTGAATTATCTGTATAAACTTAAAGAACGTCATATTCGAAAGCCCTGTCATCAAGCAGTCAGCTTCGAGTATTGTCAATCTGTTTATTGTCCACTTGATATATAGAATATGAAATTGTCCATCCTGTACGACATCTGTACGCTCGTGATATGTACTTTTGAGGTATGTTTTTTTTTTAAATGTTATATCTACGGGATGATTTACTCACATATTTATATGTATAATTTCTCATGTTTTATTTTAATGTTTAGTTGGCTGAAGAGGGGCTAATGCCCGAAACATGACTTGTAAATAGCGTCCCAACTGAATAAAGTGGTGAATAATGTCACCGTAGTGTGTCTGTAAAAAAGCTAATTAAACTAATAATTCAATGTGGTCTATTCCTTGGTTTTAGAATGAATAAATAAAGATAATATAAGATTTACAGAAACTATATAGTTGCTTCATCAAGACCATAGAAATCTAACTTAATAATTTTATCATTTGATATTATTCTATAAAAGTTATTTTTTCTGTGTTATTAACCTTGTTATTCTGATTGTTATTATCTGGCATTGTAATTAAGGATATTAAGAGTATTTTTTATACTTGTAACCTTAAAAATTTTTGTAACTTTTCCCTATCAAATGTATCATCCCTGTAACAGAAAATGTATCCCTTTTTGTGAATAAACTATTAATATTAATTTTATTTTATAAATAGTGCAAAAAAATAGGAAATACTAAAGTTATATATATATATTTTATTACATGGATTATTAAGAATATATATTTACACAACTATTCCATTTATAAAAGATTTATTTTTTCATCATATTTCAATGATATATATACACAAATATTTCTGTATTATATTTTTTTTTTTACTTTTAGATTAATAAAAGTAATTTAATTGAATTGTAATATCTTAATGGATAACTACAAAAAAAAAACTCTTTCATTTGTGTTTAATGTAGTAACTATTTATGGAAAATATTGGCCAAAAGAAACAGATAGTAATCAAGTTTTTTAAACATTTTATATTATCTGATATTTTTTAAAAAAGTCAATTGTCACTTAACACCGTACAGATATGAACATTTGACAATTGGTTTTTCATTAAAAATACATTAAAACTGGACCCAATTATGCAAAAAATTACAACCCTCAACGAACTTAGAATAAGTAAATCAACATTAAAGTTTTTCACTTTCAAACAAAATATAGACGGTTAGTTGGTAAGCTTTTTAAATTGTTAATAGTAGCTGTAAGGTTAGATTGTTTTTGTAAAATGAAAATTGGACAATATTGAATCTTATAGAATTTCAACCCATTTTTGTACATTTGAAGGTTTGGACTTTTTGAATAATTGAACCCAATTATATCTTTTAAGGTTGAAATTTATAATTTATATTAATGCAATGATGAGCAACCTTTTCTGGATACAGGCCACAAGTAAACTTCATAAGCTTCTGATGAACCACATGCAGTTTCTTAGAGAGTTGCAGGCTTTAAGCCAGCTAAGTAACATCATACTCCATACGATATATGCTAATGATATGTAAACAAGTATTACAGTCCGTTTCAAAATTATAAACACACCCAACTTTTTTCAATAACAAAAACATTAACAATTGTAATGTATTTATTATATTAAAATATCATTTACAACATCAATTTAAACATTTTCTGAAATTTTTACAGCAATCTTACAATTACAAAAAAAATTATCACATATTTTCAATTTTTGATTGTTTCAAAAGTATAAACACATGTGCACAAAAAAACAATTTGTGATGTTTCAATATTTTGTAGGTCCACCATTTGATTTAATTAGTTCAAATACTCTATCAGGCATACATTTTACTAGTTTTTGAAGTTGTTCTTGTTTAATATTTTCCCAACAATCCATAATAGCTAATTTCAATTCATTTACAGTATTGTATTGTCTGTTTTGGCCATAAACAAGACAACTCATAATGCCCCAAATATTTTCTATCGGGTTCATATCAGGGCTCCGTGATGGCCAATCAATTACAGTAAGTTTTTTTTTCAGCAAACCAATTTTTAGTTGACTTTGATGTATGAATGGCAGCATTATCCTGTTGGAATTGCCAGTTTTCTCCCCCAATAAGTGGTCCAAAAGTTATTAAATTTTGATACAACAGTTCTTGATACTTTTCTGAATTCATTCTACCTTCTATGAATACAATATCTGTTTTACCTCCCCATCCAAATCCTGCCCACACCATCACAGATCCTCCACCTTGCTGTCTGCTCATTCTGACTTCTTCGTTCTTCCTCAAATCATGCCAGTAGTGACTATAACTGTCAGGTCCATCCAAATTCCACTTTTTTTCATCTGAAAAGACTATTTGTTTCCATTCCTCTTTCCATGTCATCTTGTCTTTGGCCCACTTTAATCTAGCTGTTTTGTACAATTGTGTTAATTTCAGTTTAGCAGTCATTTTGGTAAATTTGGCATTTTTATGATTATGCATACATCTCCATACAGTTGCTGGTGAAACTGCAATTGGCAATGTTGATGCTGCTTCTCTGACAGACAACTTGTTGACTGTCAGTAGCTGAAAAACCTTTCTTTCATTTCTAGGTGTAAGGAGTTTAGGCCTTTTGCATTGCTTATTTCTGCCATAATTTCCACCCTGAGTTAACACATTTCTCACAGCATGTGTAGATTGATTCATAGCTGCCAAAATTTGTCTTAGAGATCATCCTAATCCTTTTAGTTGATATATTTCACATATTTCCAACTTTGTTAGTGTTTTTCCATGAGGCATTGCTTTAAATCACAAAAAACTGTTTAAAATTTGTGTCATGTTTTTAATAATAAATGCTACTCCCCTCTGTTGACAACGAATTAAACTAATAATTAATAAAAAAATTATTATACTAATTTTAATCATCTGTGTTTATACTTTTGAAACACTCAAAAATTGAAAATTTCTGATAATTGTTTTTGTAATTGTCAGATTGCTCTAAAATTTTCAGAAAATGTTTAAATTGATGTTGTAAACAACATACTAATATAATAAATACATTACTATAGTTAATGTTTTTGTTATTAAAAAATGTTGGGTGTGTTTATAATTTTGAAACAGACTATATAATTTAAGCTAATAAATTTTACTTAGAAAGTTTAGTCTGAAAAAGTTCATTATCACAAATATTAGCTTAATTAGGATTACATGATAACATGAGGGAAAAAAACAGGAAAAATAAAATTATATTGTCAAAGCCCTCAAGGGCCATATTTTAGGATCTCTTGGGCCATGTGCAGCCCATGGGTTGTTCATCATTGTACTAATGTAAAGAATATTTCTGCTAACTTTTAACTGCCTCAATTTAAAACTGTAATTAGCAATTTTTGAAAATTCAGATTTTATTAATATATAATTAAAAACTTTCATATAATATATTTATAAATTTAAACAATATATATTCCAATTATAAAAAATACATAGCTTATTTACCAGAATTTCTTAACCTTCCTGTCCAAAATCATCCATAAACTGACGAAGCTTGATCATATCATCATCATTAACTGTTGGTTTAGAATTTGCTAATGAGAGCAAAACATCACTCTACAGAAAATTAAAAGAAATTTATTATTAAGTTAAAATATTAAGAAATATTGTTATACAGTATGTTTAAACATATCAATATATGAGTACAATTTGGAAATTTACATACATAAATAAGATTTGGGAATTAAGTTTCAGGAATATATAGAATTAAAACAATAAAAAGCTTTTAATATTGTTCAAAATAGTCTTCTTGAGAAGTTACATATCAAGGAAACATTTCTTAAATTTATTTTTAAAATGTACAACCTTGAAGAGATGATTAAAAAAAAGCAAGAAACTGATTTAATTTTAAGAAATTCTTTTTAAAATCAAATATAAGTGCATAACAAGCACAATGATATAACAAATGTTTTATGATTACAAAGGTCTTGTCAAAACTAATAAAGAATAAAGAAAAATACACCGAGGAAAAATACTGAGAGGAAAGTTATCTCAAAACACATCTATGGCAATTGGCAAAATAAAGATGTTTGTTGACAAGACAAATGTTAGTATGAATTGTTATCCCTCCCTACAGAAATAATTTGCACAAATTTATTTAAATTTACTGCCTTCAATTCCCTTTTAAAGTTACATTTAAATGTTTTCTTCTCTGAAAATGTACTCCTTGTGCCTTTGATTTGACTTTGGTTAACAGTAAGTAACCCAACCTTGAAGACTTAACCAGGAAAACAAGAAGGAATGATTTAACTATGCAGTAGAGAAGCTTTTATTTGACCAAAATATAGAAATGTAATACAGAATGAAGAAGTGAAATTTTCTCAAATCTGTCAACATTTCATAAATTGCTTCTTTTCATCATTTGAAGAGTTATTTGATTATAAGATGTAACAAATTCATAAACTTAACCAATCATTTATGATGTTTAAATCTTTGTTAACTATCTATGAATTTATCATCAGCAAGATTCTTGTGGTCTTAAAAAATCTTGCAAACTTTATTTTAACCCTTTATAGCCCGAATTTTCATTTTTTGATAAAAAATTTTTTTTCTTCTTATTATATCATCAGAAGAGATGTTTGTTCACAGATAAGTAAATAAAAAAAAATTAAAATGTAAATTAAAAATTTTTTAATTATGGGACTTAAAAGTCCCGTCAGGCTTTTAGAGCACATTTGGACTTAACAAGTTTTTTCTTGTTTAATATTTCGAAAATAAAATAATTTTGTTTTATATAAAGATCTTTTATCATAGATATTTGCAAATTAAATGCATAATTATATATATTAAGTATTTGTTAACTTTTACTGTATAATAAGGTCAAAATATGAAAAAAAATTAAAATGCATGACAAAACTAAAATAAAATTTATTGGTTTAATAATTTATGATTAGTAAAGATGTAAAAAGCTATTTTTTTCCCATTTACACACAAGAAAACTTTACGTAATGTGCATTTTGTATATGGCTTTGATGTGTATCAATATCAAATAAAATTTTTTTTTATATAAAATTATTTATATATATATATATAAGTCTTATATGTATATTAACTATAAAAATGTTAAACAAATTCATAAATTTATAAAGCACAATGTAAAAAATACAAATTTCTAACATTTACAAAAAAGATTCCTACAGGCCTGACGGGACTTATAAGTCCCAAACATATTTTGACTTCATACAGCTTGCAAACCATTAATTCTACAAACATAATACATTAAAATCAAACTACACATATCTAGAATACATATTAAAAAATACAAAGACATTTAACTTGAAAACATTAAGTAGAATTTGGCAACAAAGAAAGCTACTACCATATAGTATCAGCTACTACCATTCAGACAACACACGATGTGAAACTTTTTTCAACAAAACTAAAACAGGAACAGTTTGAAAGTTACTACCCTATAGAAGAAAAAAAGAACACTTTATACAATGATAAAATGTAAGTCCCAGAAAGCTATAATGCATACACTATGAAATAAAAGATATCAAAGATAGTGGGACTAGAAAGTCCCGTCAGGCCATAAAGGGTTAAAGATTTCTAGAAATAGCAAAGTGACAGAGTATCATTATCATACCCTTGTTTTATTAATTTTTATATTTCAATTGCATTTCTATATAATTTGCAACAAAATTAATGTTTGCACTTTGCATACGAAAATCTAGATAAAAGGATCCAACCACAGGAATTAAAAAATTATAGAAGTCTCTAGATCAATAGATTCAGATTTATTAGATAATCAAGTATTACTCAACTTGACAAAAACAATAGAATGCACAAGCCTCTAATAAAATGACTAATCAATCACTATTAAATATCTTCATGCCTTAATTTGTGAATCCCAATTTTATTGATTCACTAGCAAATACACATGTTAAATTTCAATGGGCTTTTACTTTCCTGGCTTATGTATATAACACAGAAAAGTATTGGAATTGTGTCAAATTTGACATTCTGGGCCTTTTTGCAAATCTCTACATTTTAAGATCACCTGAATCCAAAAAAGTTAAACAAAACAGAAAAAAATTCTGTGTACATGTGTGTTTTGGTGTCTATTTTGTTTAATATCACAGAATGAGGTAATGATTAAAAAATGAAATTTGGCATGGTAACTTGTACATAAGGGGCATTAATGCTATTAAATTTTGAAGATTAAAAGTCAAGAGGGTGGGGAGATAGAGGAAGCCAAGTGTCATATCTTGAGTGGAATTGGACTTAATGAAAATTTTACTCATCAACAGATTTTACAATATTTTATAAAGCCCATCTTGACCCTCAAAATTGAACCTTTTGCCATTTTATAATAATTAATAATACACAAGTTTTTTTAAACAAAATCTCATAACAAATGGTGCCTTAAACCATTTTAATTTTGTGTTTGTCTTAGTGTTTTTGCCAGGAAAGTTATGCAACTTGCTGCTGGGTTTTTTAAATAAATAGGGGCTTGCTGCCCCATTCTTTTTCTTCAACCAAACTCTCCATTTACTTGCCCCTTCACTTATTCCTATGTGGGGTGGCCCAACCTCCACATACTTCAGCTTGCTTGTTCCTGGGGCTTAATCCACTTGTTCCTAATATCTACATTTGTCACCAATTTAACATTATATTTTTGTGTCATTTGTTGATAATTACTGCAGGATAAGCTAAATATTAAATTAAACTTTTATATATATATAAATGGTACTATTAAAACAAAACTTTCAACAGGATGTTTAATATAAGAAAATAAGTTACTAATAGTTTATTTATTTGAACATAGATAACAGATAAACTTTATTTTGAATACAAGCACAACTTTCAAAATCTATGCATGTGGTTTAAAGTTGTTTTCAAAGCAATGGACAAAAGCTCTGACTGTTGTAAAAAAATTTTGATGCAAAAGTCATGACCATTCACATTATATTATTTAAGTTCCTAAGAATATGATGATATTCTTATAAGGACACAATTCCTAGAATTTAATTCCGAGTATCAAAGAATTGTCAACATTAACCTACAGTCATAAGCAGTTTTTATTCATGTGATTGCATGCATAAGTCCATTGATTTTTCATGCACAATTATGCTGTACATAATTGCCATTCCTCAAATTTGAGTACTGTCTTGTGATGTGTCTTCTGTGTGCACGCCAAAGTTTATTGTATAGTTTACAAGATATGGTTTTGTTTACAGAATATTGTCCTTAACCCTTCTCCCATACAAGGCCTCCCACTCCCAAACTTTGTGATAGCATGGGCTAACAAAAACAAGTTCAGCTGAAAATAAATGAAACACTGAAGCATTTTTCAGGAACAGAAAAGAATTTTTCTGTATTTTTGGCATGAAATAAAGTCACAAAAACATTTAAATTGTTGAAGGCCATAGTGCCCCAGAAAATCTTATAAAGATGTGTGTTCAACATCATAGAATTTGCAGACCATGCCATTATGTGCAGCATAACTGTGCATGAAAAATCAATGGATTATATCAATATCTTATATCCATGAAGTCATTACTACTACTTGCAACAATCATGAGAGACCGTCATGATGTAATTTGTGATGACATCAGAGTGGAAAAATCATCATTTTATGCACCATGATATGACAATAAAGAAAAATTGTATGCAATTTGTCAATTTGGTAAAAAAATGTCTGCAAAAAAATTAGTTGGCAAAGAAAATCATTATTGTATGTGATCATGAGTTAACACTAATTGCAAGTACTTTTGAATTATCCAAAATATATATAATATAAACAATTATAGATAAAGTAATATAATAATAAACATATTAACTATAATACTAATAAAATAAATTTACCATTGTAACTACAGGTTCTAATAGTTTTTCACCAGGCACATCCATCCATGACATTTCAATAGCTCCAGGAACTCCAGGAGAACAAGGTGTTAATAAATCATCTACAATAACATTTGGATCAGTTCGAGATGGGCCTCTAACCTAAAAGTTCAATATCATCATCATTATTTAATGAAATATTTATTAACAATACCTTTTACTAACTTACTTATTGATAAATTTAAATACATATGATATTCCTGAAGAAACATTTACAAACTTTTAAAATATTTAAAAAGTAAATTTACCCGTCGAAAATGTGTGGCTGTCTGTACTTTTCTTACAGGTTGCATTAAAGCATCTCTTACAAGGACTGATATATCTGCTCCAGAGTAACTATCAAAAATAAAATTTATTTTTAGACTATCTAATAACATACAAACAAAAAAATAATATCACAAATTTATACTATTGTTAAATTAAAAAAATATCAGCTCTTACTTGAGATAATTTTATAAATAAACAAATTTCTTATGAAATAGTTTTAGGAAATAAAGACAGAAATTGACTAATGATTATTTATGATAGAAGTTTATGGAATATCTGATTAACAAAATTAATTTTTCTTTTTGATATGACAATTTGAAGAAACTGATCAATGTGATGTTACATCATCATCTATTAACCTATTCGACATTGAAATTTTTATTTGTTGCCTGTGACGCCATGTTGAATTTTCGTTGATGTTAAGCCTAAAAATTTTTTTAAAAATAATAATCGTGTTTACTGTATCATAAAAAAATTATTTTTTTATGTTTCGCAAACAAAATAAATATATTGAATAATATAAAAACAAAAAAAATTATATTTTAAAAGTTTGTTTTAATATAAAAATCGTGACGCATAGCGACATCTAGTATCAAAAATGTTCCGATGTAAACATGAATATATTCGAGATCACCCATGCAGGTCAACACAAATATTTTCGGAAACAATGAAGGACAGGTTAATCAGTTTAATATATTAAATGGATATGAATTATAATCTTTGTTTTTTTCTACCATGTTGGCCACAAATGAATGAAAAATTTGTTATTTATTAAAATTACATTAACAACTTATATAATAACAAAAATCAAAAAACGATTCTTTAAAATTAAGCAATAATAAAAAATATATATTTGCATTCACTTATTTAAGAGCTTACTACTATATACAGTGGAACCTCACTTAATAAGCACCTGTCAAAACAAGTAATTCATATAACAATCAAAACAAATTGTAAAAAATGATTTGCTTAATGAGTGACATTTTGCATAACGAGTGACGAGGAGAGGGGAAGTCCCAGATTGTAGGCATGATACATCAGTCTGTGTTTAGCACTCTTTTCGCTAGCATCTTAGTGTCACTTGTGATCACACATTTTTCCAAACTTGTGTTCACACATATTACATATAAACATCAACAACCAGAATTCGTTATATAATAAATACGCCAAACGATATGCCAAGTTATTGGGCTATGTAAAGGCTATAATTAAATATTAGAAATTAAATAATTTGACTAGAAGTAGGCAGTTATGCTGCCATCTTATATTAAATTTAATGACCAATTTAAATTTTGATTGTTTTTTGTTTTCTGAAAATTGAATTTGCAATTCAGATTGGTTCATTCCACACTAGAAGAAAAGATGATGATGATTCATGCTCCTTAACAATGTATATTGTATAATTTTCTTTGACTAAACATTATACACAAAATATTTGAGTATTTTTTCAGCATGGAACATATCATATTTTACATTAATTTATATGGAAAAAATTGTTTCGTTTAACAAGTGTTTCACATTATGCGTAAGATTCTGGAACGAATTATGCTCGTTATGTGAGGTTCCACTGTACATTTAAACATAAGTCACTTTGAGGTTTCTTGATCTAACACAGTGGTTCCCAATTAGTTTTTCCTGCATACCACTTCAAGAAAGAGCTCAAACTCGCGTACCCCTTATAGCAGAAATTCATATTAATCCATACTAATATTATAAATTAGAAGGTAATTCTGCCTGTCTGTCTGTTACCTTTTCATGTCTAAACCGCTGAACAGGTTTTAATAAAATTTGGCACAGAGATAGCTTACATGTTGGAGATGGACATAGGCCATATTTTATTGTGAGAAAATATCTTACTTCCACGAGAAAATTCGATATAATGTGGGTGAAGCCGTGGGTAGACAGCTAGTGATAAATAGAATAAGTTTTTTTACATTTATTACCTTTAAAATACAATTCTAATAATAGTGAAAATAACATAAGGTTATTTAATTTGAACGTGACAAATGTGCATGATTTTCTCTGCACAACTTTGTAAAATCTGGTTGCTTTTTGGTCAGCTTCAGTCTCAAGTCATCTTCGAGTTGAAGTCGGTGATGATGTTTAGTTTTTATGTTTGTCATGGCCGAAAATCCACTCTTGAAGAGGTATGTTGTGCAAAATGGTAATAAATATTTCATTGCTGCTTCACTGACATGATAATAATGATAATTGTAAAATTAACACAAATTGTGTTAATTGTACAATTTTTGTTTCTTGCATAAGAATTTCATTTAGATTTTGTCACAAAAGCATTTTTTTGATGAAATTTCGAGAATATTTTTAGTTATAAATAAACAAATTTGTGCATTCGACATCATGTTGTAAATTGCTGACTTTTTGATGGTCCACCCATTATTTTTTTGATTTCTTCACCTGTGCATTTAAATTTTAAATCGACCGATTTTAGATCGCCGCACGTACCCCTTCATGCAATTTCACGTACCCCCAGGGGTACGCGTACTACTAATTGGGAACCATTGATCTAACAGATATCTTCAAGATAGTATAAGCAGTTTAATAATTAGTAGAGAATGAATTAGAAAATGATTAAATACTCAAAGAGAGAGAGAATAAAAATCTAATTCATAAGATCATTATCTTCTGATGAAAAAATTTTATAGGGGAAAACATTAGAAAAACTAATTAAAATGAAAACTGAAATAGGTTAGGAAAAACAATCTATTAAAATCTCCAGATGTTATAGGTTGATTCATACTAATAAAATCAAGCATATCCCATAAAAACAGTTATTCTAATATTTTTCAAATAATATGTATCAAAAAACAATCATCTAAAAAAAGCAATACTACATATACTTATGTTTCTTACCCATCAGTTTTTTTTGCTAAAGTCTTGAAATCATCTTCATTTAAAGTGCATGGAGTATTACCAACATGTAACTTAAAAATTTGAAGTCTAGCCATTTCTTCTGGTAATGATATATATATTCTTCTAGTATCAAAAATGTTCCGATGTAAACATGAATATATTCGGGATTGCCCACACAGGTCAATGAGGTCAACATGAATATTTTTGGGAACAACATAGGACAGGTTAAGA